CTGTGCTGACGGGAATGGGACCAGCCATAGGTATTTCCATTCTTAAGACATTATGGACCAGCTTGCTGGAATGTATCCACTGCCACCATCTCAGTTAAACACCCAAAAGTGCAAGGGTGAAAAAGAATGAAAAAAAAAAAAAAAGATTTCAAATTATCGCCAGCAAAGCAATTAGCCTGGGGTTTGCTCCATGATGAAGCTTTAGATCCTCCAGGGAGTGAAAGGTTTGGATGGCAAAGGAGAAGAAGACACCAGGGGAAGAAGATGCCTGGGAAGATGCCTGGTGGGCCAGAGGAGCAGGAATTCATCTTCCTGTGCGTTTCCACTTCGCGGGGATGAGCAGAAGGCCAGAGCATCTCCCCGGCTTTCCGTCCTCTCACCTGATGGGAAGGCCAGAGCATCTCCCCGGCTTTCCTTGCTCTCACCTGATGGAATATTGTTGAGGAACTGCCTTAGCTCCCGCACATCCGCGTCAGACGCTGAGCGCGCCAGGTCGGGCACTAGTGAGTGAATCCAGCTCGAACGCAGCCCAGCGAGCAGCGCTTATGCTGAAGTCATTAAATCTTTGGCGAGGCTAGAAAGGCAGAGTGAATAATGGCTTTAATATGCTCAGGAAATCCTCCACGTCGGAGAAGATCAGAAGAAGCCATTAGTGGGAATGGAAGGGGATTCTTCTCCAAACAAAGGCAGCAGACTGAGGAATTGCAGTTCGATAAACAGGGCATCTCTTAAAAATTCAGTAATTTACCCAGCATCTGGGGAAGCAGTGAAACCTTGTGCTTAATGTAAACCCAGATGGTTGGGAGAAAAATAGGACCTATACAGATCCACATTTAGTTTTCAAATCTACATTGTACTCAAGCCATTATATATTTAAGGGTTTATTCCATGCTAATGGGAATGGTGTTACCAGATTCACTCAGAGAAGAGAATGTGTTGCCCTCACTGCTGTTGGTCAATTAGAAATATGGGTCCCCTTCGTTTAGTATCGTGTTGTAAATCCCAGTGCTCCGTTTGAGGAGCGAGGCCGCGCTGAGCTAGCAGGCGTCACCATTAGTAATGGACTCAAGCTGCAGAATTTGGCTTCGGTGCTCAGAGCTGTTTGGATTTAGGGTTTTAGCCTGCCCGTTATAGCAATAGGGAACAGATGGGATTTGCAGGCCTGGTCGGGACTCCACGCTTCTCGTAAGGTCAGTGTTGTTTGAGTCAAATCAGATTTTAAGTCGGATTCATTTCTGCCTGTGCCTGCCTGTCGTGCTTGTGCAGCAACACTAGGGCACAGCAGCCCCGGAAAAACATATATTTTGTTTGTAAAGAAAAAGGAATATTACCCTGGTCTGCAAGCGATGTGAAGCTAGTGGCAGTAGGCAACGCTTGTAGAGGGGCCCATAAAGGACCTTACCACGTATTTGATGCATTAAGGCTCCCATATTTTTAGAAATAAGAGTAGCTGAGTTGAAGACAACTTCTTGGGAGCAGGATCCAGGTGCCCAGTGGTCAAGATACTGCAGGGAACAGAGGGCGGAGGAGGGCAAATGCTCAAGGCCCCCAGCCTAATGCAGGATTAGTGGCAGGAAAGTGGACTACGCCTTAAAATTCATGAAGAACAATTTAAGAAACATGAACAACAGGGCCACAATTATGCAGGGCCAGGGACTTGGGGTTGTTTTTTTGTTTTTCCAGTGCTAGTGGAAGAAACAGAGTCATTCCTTGGATATGTGTGGCCACCATGTGCTCTGCTGGGGCTGCTGGATACTCATGGAGCAGTTAAATGGAGATCCCATTTGCAGGCTCTGAAATGAGAGCCGAGAAGCTCTGGTTTTTATTCATGACTTCTCCCTCGTGCCCGGGCTTCCTTCTTCACACCGTGTCCCCGTCCCGAGGACAGAGGCTGCGAAATCAGTCAGCTGCTCTTTGCTATATTCTTATTATAGAAGAAAAGTGCAGTGTTTTGTCCTAGATTTAACAGATGGGAAACAAAACTACTTTGGGTAGTAGGAGATGCTGCCTCGTACGCTGGTGGGAAGTTCCGTGATAGTTTGGGATATCAGGTTATTTTATGCAAATGGAAAAATAGCTAAATCATAGTCCTGGTGCACTCTAATGGCAAGGTAGAGCCTAAGTAAATTATTGATTATTTTGCACACTGGAAAAGGAAACCAGAAAAGGAATGATATCTAATATACAGAAATAGATGAGAAGCCTCTCATGGGTTATGAGAAAAGCACGAGCGTGAGGAGCTCTTAAAATAGCCATCAGCTTTCATCAGGGCAGGTACAAAAGGTCCCAAATTAGTGAGAGACTCAAGGTGAAGCTGGGCCAGTCTTCCAGGGCATTAGTCCTGGGCAGTTTTCCTTCATTTATCTGTATAAATAACTTCAGTGATGCAAGGGCTGCTTGGGGGCTTGCCACAGAGGCGTTATTTAGACCCCGGCAACGGTGCATCTTTGGTGGTAGCTTGGGGAGAGCATCCCCGAGTTGCTTCCAGCTCCTCTTTGTTGTGTGCGTTGACGGAGCGTGCGAACAGCTGAGGCGAAGCCTAATCCTCGCCTGGGCCCACGACCTTTTTATTCAAACGTGCACCTGGCAGGAGCCGCGAGCACCAGCGCTTGTGGCCTTGGCAGCTGCAGCGCTGACAGCAACGAGATGCAGGCAGGTGTTGGGGGCTATACTAAAAAATATATATTTGTTATTGGCCTGGCATAGACCAGCTTTAAAGACAAAGGAAAAAGGCCTTTGAGGAGCAACGGCTCCGGCTTGCAGCGAGCCCTCCGGTGCCAACACAATGAGGTTTGTGCAGAAGCATTTGCGGGCACGGGGCAGGGAGACCAGGTCGGCAGCGTGACCGCGGTCCCATGCGGAGCTCCCTGGGGCGGCTCGGGAGCCGCTCAGCGCTCAGGTGAGCGCGGCCCAGCTCCAAGCTACGTCGAGGCTGCAAATGCAACAGCGGTGTTTTATTTGGGCAGAGCAATTCCCAGTTTGGATTCAGCCATACCCTGACCCTCACTACCCGCTGAACACGCAAGCGAGATCAGCAGAAGTGCAGATTTGCTGCTGGCACCATCGTTTCTGCAGCCGTTTTAAGCAGCAGGCTGTGACTGCTGCTATGAGTAACCTGGCTGTGCTGGAGACGGCAGCTTTCCATCACGCTGAACGCAAAGGAAACCAATTCAGCAGGCAGAAAACTAAGATTCAGTGTTCAAAAAGAAGCAGAGTTGCATAAGCGGAGAAGAAAAATGAATACAGCTTGTCAGTGTGTAATGTCTTGGCTCAGGATACTACGGCAGGAGGTGTAACAGGGGCTTGGGGGCTGCTGCACATAGCACCCCTGCGCAGAGCTCCTTCCTGCTTTAACAATAACACGCTCGGAGTAGCGACTCACACCAGTGCTGCAAATACAGCGGCTGGCAGAGAAACTGCCAGGTATCTGCCAGGGAGCGTTTTGGCCACGCGATTCCTCCAGGAATTCATCCTTCTCCTCTGGGAGCTTCTGCTTTCCCGCCTGTGAGACAGCGATAACCTCGCGAGGGGACGGCGGGTGTCATACGTTGCTGCCCGAGACTGAGGGAAATCCCTCAGTGAACAGCGCTGTTTTCCAGGGGAGGACAAGGTTCGAGGCTGTAAAGAGTTTGATTAAAACCAAATCTGCTATAGCCTGGCTAGGAGGGAAACAAAGAAACTGGAAAACCCTCAAAGCAGGCTGTGATTGAAATGCAACCAAGTAAACTGTGCACGTGCGCATTCACTCACTCACGCATGTATGAAAAACCAGTAAAGAATTATCCGTTAATGTATAATACAGAGATGTATATATATATAAAGTAATGACAATGTGTTTGAAGTACTCCAGTAGGAAATGGAGCAGTTTATATACTCTATAATATCTCTCTGTATATGCTTACCATTAAGTGGGTTACTGGGGGTAACACCAACACCACGTTAGGATGTGGGGGGATCACTTCCAGAAAGGGGTGCACCAACATGCAGCGTCTCGGCAGGTGCCATCACGTCCCTAGCAAACAGAAATAGCGAATTTGAGGGTTATGCCTTCATTTCCGTTAAGAGTTGGGGGTGTTTCCTGTGCCCCTAGGGAGCCATTTTAGGTAATTGCTCCAGGAGGGTCTCACGCAGCAAGGCTGCAGGGGGAATACTGTGTGCAGACTGGGAAAAAAACTGGCTGCTTTGCCTAGTTATATATTCCATATACATATATGCATATATATATTTGACAGATTATGGCCAACATTCGCAGCATGAAGCCGCCCCTCGCAGCCCGGCCCGGCTCGCCGCTTCCCCCTGGAGGCGCCGGGCGGCCTCGCGGCGCCGCAGGGAGCGGGCGGCTGCCTGGGCACGTCGCGCCGGCCAGACTGGGGCTGCTTCTCCTCACGGGCTCCCTCCCTTTCCCAAAATGACTCGGTAAGGAGGCATTTTCACCTCAAAAATAGGTGACGGCGCGTGAGAGGGCGACATTTTTGGGGGGAAAAAAATATAAAACCCGTAATTTTGGCCGAGCCACCAGAGGGGGCCCCGCGGCGCCTCACCGGGGGCGGGGCCTCGCCTCAGGAGGAGGGGGGGCTTTCACCGAGGGGGTGTGGCCTATTTCCCCGCCCACTGTCATTCTCTCCGACGTCATCGGCGGACGTCATCGGCGCGCGTCGCGTCACGTGGGCTGCGCGGTTCCCCGGCGAGGCGGCGGCCGCTGGGCGCTGAGGCGGGGCCCGGGGGGGGGGGGGGGCC